GAGAAAAGGCAACCAAGATAGTAAAGGCCATAAACCTATATATATAGATACATTTTCAGATAGAATTTAAAACAGGGAGCAGGGCTCTCATTCATGGAGGAATTGAGGTGTTTGGCAATTGTTAAAAATAAGATATAATGAACCGCAATAGCGATTCAAATAGTGGCGAAATAAATCAGTCACGACACCACTGACCAAAACTTACAGCAAAATTTAAGTGACCGTTGAAACTTGAAGGGTTAACAATGCAAGCAACTACAAGGATGTAAAGTAAAAAGAAGCACATGCAAACCCCCCCCCCTCCCCAATCTCATGTAGCTTAATCTGTAAAAAGGACTTATCCCAAACAGTTTATAGCATATTAAGTCTGAATGCACACATGAAAAAAAGCATTATTATCATTATCATAAAAAAGTGTAGGACAGATCTTGGGAAAACAATTCGCAGTTACCTGTTGAACTATGCTCAGTTTGATTTTGAGATTTTCATAAAATGACAATTCTCATAAAATAATTATTATAAAAAGATACAAAATCGGCGAGGGAAAAATATAAAAGGAGGAGATTGGTGCTCAAATGCTTGACTTGTACAAAGACAAAATAGTAATATCTTCTTGAGCGGAAGGAAAAAGCTGTAAATTATGCATCATGCAGATCTTTCAGACATCTTTCTATTTGTAATGGCAATTATAGATGTTTCACACCCCCACTGATACAATTTTGAATATAGAGAGGGTAGGCTGTTTTAACTCACTTGAGCCTATTCCCATGTATTTACAGGACGCCCTGCTGGCCTGGTGGCCTAATCCCGTATATTAACAGGATGTGCTTTATCAGTCAATATCTCTGGTGTTTTTCGGATACAAGCTACGGGAAACGGCGAGCCAACAGTTGACCCTCTTAAAAAAATTTGGTGAAGTTATGTGCGATACTTTTTTTAGCTATAACGGACTAAGTCAGTCACCCCCACATTGTGATAGATGGTTTTAATATAAATTGGGCGTAAAAAAAATTGCATAACCCCCTAGACATTGCCATTTCAAAGCATTGATAAAATAAAAACTATAGGGGAAAATTAGAAGCAATTTTCTTTCTCTGTGAAAGCATTTCTTTCTTTCTTTCTTTCTTTCTTTCTTTCTTTCTTTTGTTGCACTTTTTTAAAATTATGATAGCTTTCAGAGTTTTTTAGTGACCAACGAATCAATATACCCCAAAAGTGTCAGGCTGCAATGGTTGTTGGGTGGAAAATAGCTCTGGCTCAAGTGAGTTAACTCTATCAGGACTAACCTGTGCTGAGAATTGACACAACAACCTTACAGAGGAAAAAAATCAGAAGTCGCATTCACTTTAATTATCAGTTCTAACTAATGGAATCTTCATGACACTGAAGTTTAGCATAAAGTAATATCTTGTTTTGTTTTAGTAGAGGTTTTACGGTGCTCGCAACTACATAAGGTCATATGAACGCCATAAAGTAATATCTGAAGGAGAGAAAAATAGAAGAGCTTGTAAAACTGAATAGAGAAAATTTCATATATTCATGCAAGACATGAGGTTCCAAACTGTATAAAACTTAATAAAGACTTCTCAAAATCGTTAAAATGTGACTGCCGATTTATCCCCAGTAGTGTTGACTTTTCTTTCCCCTCCACAGCCAGATAATAGCATGTAAAGGGTGAACAATCCATCAACTACCAGACAGGCAACAGAAATTAATCAATAGCTGAGCCTTTTTTGGGGATGAAAAAAGGCACCAGAGGTAAAGGCGCTGAAGACTTGTTCAGTAAAAGACAAATTTTTACTTGTTTACAGTTTTTAAAAGTACAGATGATTTTACGCCCCCATCTATACAATTTTGATAATTTAGGAGGCAGGCGGGCTTGCCAACCCAGACTAAGAGGGATATAACGACCCAGCAGAAAGATTGAGATACTTAATACTTAACAAATATTTCTCTAACTCGGGTCTTCAGTGTGCCACAGCAAAGCACCTAATGGCTACACCATGATACAAGTTTTTGATTTCTGAACAGCGTTCATGATGAACAAGAAAAATGAGAGGGGAAAAAGCTTAATCGGCGATAAACAGACAACTTATCTTGCTCTGTATGTAAAGCTAAGTCTTTATTCTTCGTTGTGCATTTGTGATACTAATCAGGGATGCCACTGAGACTTTGCGACAAATCTGGAAGATTGACAAAGTTGCATTTGCAAACAAATTTCTGCCTAGTGTAGGTACACAGAGAGAGTAAGTAAGCCTTTGCAAACAGAAAGACAGTGGATAGAAACAACTATTATGGGGTTAAACAAAATACAAATGTTTAGAAAAAATAGCCATTCATCTATAGAAAGTAACGCAAAGAGTGGGAAAAACCCCCCAAAAAAAGAGATTCCTGATTACGATATTGACTCTAGCCTTGATTTAATCTTGTCACAAGAGACTTATAAATGAAGGCATCAGAGGTTAACACTCAACAACAGTAACTCAAAAGTATTGAGTGATTGCCATTAGCACATACATCCCTTTGAAATGTACCCAGTTCATTTTAGCGAAAATCACGAAACGAATCAACCGGGATTGGGACGTAGTGTTCACGGTAGTGAAAAAAGAAAGAAGAAGCTAATGCAAAACATCATTACCAATCCCTGCCCTTCAAATATGTTGTTTGTTTTGGGGGTTTTTATGTAGGCGATGTTATATTCGACACAATTTGGATCGTTACGTAAGCAGTCTTTGATTATGCCTGTCAGGTCAACCCAAGCTGATAAAGACACAACATCCCAGCACAAAGACCGAGATACTCAATAAAAATTCTCCATATTAGGGAATCGAACTCGGGTCTCCAGTGCAACATTAAAAGCACGTAACCGCTACACCACAGACGCGGGTCCCTTCAAATACAGCATTCGGCTATTCATCTCATTGTTCATATTCAACACATGCAGGAGACATGTGATTAAAACAGTGCACGGCGCACCGGCAGTGTAATTTTAGTTGCCGCGGGGGGTTCCCCGCCGGACGCCTTATCACGTCGGGGTCACGGGGGTCAGCTCCCTGTCGCCGCTCTGTCTGGGCCG